TCTTTTTTACTCCGAAGCCAAGGAGAATCCCGAATAATCCGCCTGCAAGGATTATCCCATCCCTCGTTGATGCCCCTGTTTCATATAACTCCGAATATCGTGAACTCTCCGTCACGTCGAAATAATTCGATCTCACCTTGAAACAAATTTTTTCTCGTCTTCCCAAGACATGATGATTCTCTCGCAATTTTTCGTTCATAAAAAAAAAATTTCTATTTGAAAAATAAAAAATATCTTTATGATATCATTGTATATAAGAGTATTGGGATATATAATACATATAATATCCGATAAATAATGTCTTAAATGAAGGAGCAAACGAAGAAGAGAAGCCAAATTTTTTCAGGAAAGAACAATCAGTAGTATAGTATAAATAATTTTATTAATGTTTGCTTCAAGATCGTTCTTTATGAATGTTCGGGAATTAAAAATAATTGATAATTGTAAAATAAAATGCTAGAAAATTATAGTGCCGTTTTAATCCAGTTCTCCCTTCCATTATTACGTCTTGAATCATTGACGTTCACAAGTATCAATTAGTCAATGTCGTTCTACAGGAAGTTTCAATGTCTCCATTGCAGAAGACTAGCAACCCGTCTTGACCGCCGATATTCAACGGACCATTCATTATATGCCGGAGAATAGAAGAAGAAACAGGCATTGCGGAAAGTATACGCGCGCCTCGCATACGATAAATTTATCCGCGCGACGTTAACAAATAGCAGGGTGGTTAATGGCGAATAGACGGCACTAACGTGCGGACGCCCGCCGTAATAATATACAGCAATAATCGTGCGGCGAATGTACGGCAATAATTATGAAACGGCCGTTAATCTGATGCGAGATCTGAAATAATCATTCCGTTAAGGTGCCATTACATGGCAGCATCGAGCATCGAGCGTCTGCGCAGAAATCATTGCGCAGGAATCTGAATGAAATAGATTCCAGCTTCTTGCGGCTAATAGCATGATGAGTAATATGAATTCGGTCGAGATAAAAAAAATTATGTTCTGATACACATTACTAATACTGAAAATTGATATTTATTTACATTATACACAATAGATATTATTATTATTAAACAAAATATGTATAAAACGTTACTATCCCCCAGCAAAATATTAAAATCTAATTAATCCATACAGCACAGTACGTTGCAGCAACATTGCAGCAACATTATAACATTGCCGCAATGTTACTACAATGTTGCAATGTTGCTGCAACGTTCTGTGCTGTATGGGTTAATTAGATTTTAATATTTTGCTGGGGGATAGTAACGTTTTATACATATTTTGTTTAATAATAATAATATCTATTGTGTATAATGTAAATAAATATCAATTTTCAGTATTAGTAATGTGTATCAGAACATAATTTTTTTTATCTCGACCGAATTCATATCACTCATCATGCTATTAGCCGCAAGAAGCTGGAATCTATCTCATTCAGATTCCTGCGCAATGATTTCTGCGCATGCGCAGACGCTTAACGCTCGACGCTTGACGCTTGACGCTGCCATGTAAAGGCACCTTTAGATCGAACGAAGATGTAGAATGTGGTACGATGTTGTGTTACAGTGAAACGTAAATCTTTTTATTTACTTCGTCCTATCTCGTGCCGTTCTTCCATTATTCGCGGATTAAATTCAGGATCATGTTACAATAAACATAAATAGAACGGTATATATAAAACGCATCATCGCGTCCTAGCAAGTAATCATCGTATGATAAAAAATCTATAAGTTATTGTTAAGTAAAATTCTGTGTTACTTATATGTTAGATATAAATTATTTACTTCATAAATAAATATCAAGAATACAGAAGCAAGAGATGATAAGTTTTCAATTATAATTAATTCAATGACTATTTATTATTTCTAGTCATTACAAATATTTGATCTTCTTGAACGATTAAAGGCAAATTTTTCTCGACATCAGTAAATTACAAACTTATTTAAATGGTTCTTTGTTTCTTTTTAATAACTATAATCAAAAATGTTTTTAATTAATAGGCGTTGCTGAAGACGAGTATAAAAGGTACAATTAAGTCATTATAATTCTATTCAAAATTAATTCATCTCGGTGTCTCCCGTCAAGTCTTAGCTTCGAAATCTTTACGCGGTCGATTTTTCGGCTGCGTTGACCCGCTTAAGATCATCTTTCGGATGGCAAGAGCAACCCTGACGCGTTCCTTCTGTCCCATTCTCATGCCGACACTCCCTTTATCGATCCTGCTCCAGCCTTTCCCTCACTCCTGTCCCTCTGATCTCGCTCTCATTCTTCTTCTCCCCTTTCTTTTCTCTCGCTCTTTCTCGCGCTTCCCCTTTCTTTCTTTCTCTCTCTCTCTCTCTCTCCCTCTCCCCCTTCTTTCTCTCTCTCTCTTTCTTTCCACTCTTTCTCACCCCGCTGTCTCCCTTCAGCGCCTAGTTACCCCCGGGGAAACCCTAGAGAACCGCTTTCGTTCCCCGCTGTCCTCCTCCTTCGACGCCGACCGCTACCACCCGCGTCTACGAACTCGACCAACCAGGAAGCACGTATCTGCCCTTTCGAATTATCCGGCTGGCTTGCCGCCCTTTGTTGCACGCGGAATTTCGTTTAATTAAAATGAGACTATGGAGACTGCTTCGTTTCCGCGGCACGAAGACCTTGGATCTTAATAAGAGCTTCGATCATGAGATGTACTGTCAGAGAGAGTGAACGTTACTTATTTTTGCGAAATCTTTAAAACATTCTAGATTTATAGCGGAAAATAGACGACGTGTAATGACTACGAGCAAACAACTTAATGAGAAATTAATGATACGCATAATAATCTAGTAGCAACGTAATTTCGTGATAAATGAGTATTTTACATTTCTTTTAGAGAGGTTTTTGTAAACAAGAATACATAATGTGATACGCAGAAGATCACGGACTTCGTTCAATATTGGATATTAATTTAAAATTAGATAATTTAATTAACTAATTTATTTCCAATGCGGATTTCATAATGCAGATATGCCAAAAAATATTTGCACTATTAATATTGTAGAAGAATATATACCTCGAATAACTGTTCGTACACAAATAGCTTAATAAGAATGCATCGCACAAACATGGCGGAATAGCAAAGAAATAAAGTTTACAGATGTCGGTAGCGGATGATGTTCAAAAACGTTTACGCAAAACAAAATGCAACATTCAAGAAAGATGATACGATAAACGAAAAACGACGGATAAACGTCAATCGACGGATATGCAAAGTTAAATGTCTAGAAATAAATCATAAAATTAAATAACAAATTTGCTAATAAAACCTGCATTTACGACGTTGCATTCACAGTTGACGCGCTCAATTATTTTCGGCTACGTAAACCGACACATTGTAATGATCATGCTATTCTTACTGTTCACGGTGAGAGTCGTTGTTTGGTTACACATAAATTAGCATAGATTGCAATCTGAGAAGGCATACAGTGATAAAACGGCGGAACACAGTGGAAAAAAATGTGTAGTTCGAGGCGAAGCTAAACTACTGGAAAAAAACAGTCTACATTTAATCACGCTATCATTTAATCACGCTAGATGAAGATTAATTAACACCGTGCTAAACGCTCTCTTCGTTACTACAATTTCCTTTGACTGATTGTTCTCGCGTGCTTCTCTCTTT